TAGAAGCAGTCATCAAAAGTCTCCCAAACAAAAAAAGCCCAGGCCCAGATGGCTTCAGTGCAGAATTCTACCAGAAATTCAAAGAAGAGCTCATTCCAATACTCGTCAAAGTATTCCACACAATAGAAGCAGGAGGCTCACTGCCAAACTCTTTCTACGAGGCTACAATTACCTTGATACCCAAGCCACACAAAGACACAACTAAGAAAGAGAACTATAGACCAATTTCCCTCATGAACATTGATGCAAAAATACTCAATAAAATACTTGCAAACCGGATTCAAGAACACATCAGAAAAATCATCCACCATGATCAAGTAGGCTTCATTCCAGGAATGCAGGGATGGTTCAACATTAGAAAATCTATCAATGTAATCCACCATATTAACAATCTGCAAAAGAAAAACCACATGATCATCTCACTAGATGCTGAAAAAGCCTTTGACAAAATCCAGCACCCCTTCATGATAAAGGTCCTAGAGAGATCAGGGATAACAGGAACGTACCTGAATATAATAAAAGCAATATACAGTAAACCAACAGCTAACATCAAACTAAATGGAGAGAAACTCAAAGCAATTCCTCTAAAATCAGGAACAAGACAAGGCTGTCCACTCTCTCCATATCTCTTCAATATTGTACTTGAAGTTCTAGCTACAGCAATAAGACAACAAAAGGAGATAAAGGGGATACAAATAGGAAAAGAAGAAGTCAAACTTTCATTATTTGCAGATGATATGATAGTTTACATAAGTGATCCAAAAAACTCCGCAAGGTTACTCCTAGAGCTGATAAACACCTTCAGCAATGTGGCAGGATACAAGGTAAACTCAAAAAAATCAGTGGCCCTAGTATATACAGATGATGAAGTGACTGAGAAAGAAATCAGAGAAACATCACCTTTTACAATAGCCAAAAACAGCATCAAATATCTGGGGATAATGTTAACCAAGGAAGTGAAAGACCTGTATATCAAGAACTTTGTGTCTTTGAAGAAAGAAATCAAAGAAGATACCAGAAAATGGAAAGATCTCCCATGCTCTTGGATTGGTAGGATCAACATAATAAAATGGCAATCTTGCCAAAAGCAGTCTATAGATTCAATGCAATCCCTATCAAAATTCCATCACAATTCTTCAAGGACCTGGAAAGAACATTAATCAACTTTATATGGAAAAACAAAAGGCCCAGGATAGCCAAAACATCCCTATATAATAAAGGAACTTCAGGAGGCATCACCATACCTGACTTCAAGCTCTATTATAGAGCTATAGTCCTGAAAACAGCTTGGTATTGGCACAAAAACAGGCAGGTAGACCAATGGAACCGAATCAAAAGCCCTAATTTTAACCCACACACCTATGAACACCTGATTTTTGACAAAGAAGCTAAAACTGTACAGTGGAAAAAAGAAAGCACCTTCAACAAATGGTGCTGGCATAACTGGGTACTGGTATGAAGAAGACTGCAGATAGATCCATGTTTATCGCCTTGTACAAAACTTAAGTCCAAATGGATCAAAGATCTCAACATACATCCAGCCACACTGAAACTTTTAGAAGAGAAAGTGGGAGATACTCTTCAACGAGTTGGTACAGGAGACCACTTCCTAAACATAACACCAGTGGCACAGGCACTGAGATCGACAATTAACAAATGGGACCTTCTGAAACTAAAAAGCTTCTGTAAGGCAAAGGACACAGTCAAAAAGACAAAAAGGCAGGCCACAGAATGGGAAAAGATATTCACTAACCCTACATCTGACAGAGGGCTAATCTCCAAAATTTACAAAGAACTCAAGAAACAAGTCTCCAAAACACCAAAGGATCCACTTGAAAGGTGGGGTACAGAGCTAAATAGAGAATTCTCAGTAGAGGAGGCTAAAATGGCCAAGAGACACTTAAGAAAGTGCTCAACATCCTTAGCCATCAGGGAAATGCAAATCAAAACAACTCTGAGATACCATCTTACTCCTGTCAGAATGGCTAGAATCAAAAACACCGAAGACAATTTATGCTAGAGAGGATGTGGAGAGAGAGGAACACTCCTCCACTGCTGGTGGGAATGCCGATTCATACAGCCTCTTTGGAAATCAGTAAGGAGATTCCTCAGGAAAATGGGAATTAATCTACCACTAGACCCAGCAATTCCACTCTTAGGCATTTATCCAAATGAGGCAGATTCATACAACAAGGGCATCTGCTCCACTATGTTCATAGCAGCATTGTTTGTAATAGCCAGAACCTGGAAGCAACCTAGATGCCCCTCAACTGAAGAGTGGATAGAGAAAATGTGGTACATTTACACAATGGAGTATTACTCAGCAGAAAAAAACAATGGAATCTTGAAATTCGCAGGGAAATGAATAGCACTGGAAGAAACCATCCTGAGTGAGGTAACCCAGTCGCAAAAAGACAAACATGGTATGTACTCACTCATATATGGATTCTAGATATGGATCAGGATAGTGCCAGTCTGCACTTCCACAGATAGAGAGTCTGGGAAACAGGAAAGAACCTAAAAGATATGCATATATGCATAGTCCCCAAGAGAAGAGGATGGAGACAAGATCCTCTGAATGGATGGGGAACACGGCGAGGGGTGGGGGGGGAGTGGGACCTGGGAAGAATAGAGGGGGTAAAGAGGAAGGGAGTTGGTCATGGGGGAACAGGAAGTTGAGGGGGTGGGGGTAGAATAGGGGGAAGAGGGAATCATAGGATCGAAGACAGATCAGGCACCAGAGTGACCTCGAGTGATCTAAAGGTATAACATCAATTGGCAAGCTAAGCAATAGTGGAGGGACCACCTCGAATGCCCATTCCTGATAATGAACTTGATGTCTATAACCATCCGGGAGCCTTCATCCTGTGACTGATGGAAGCAGAGGCAAACACACAACTAAGCACTGAACTGAACCCAAGGAACCCAGTGACAGAGAGAGAGGAGTGATGAGCAAATTGGCAAAGAATGGGCTGGCAAAACCAGCAGAGACAGCTGATCTGAACAGGGGAGTGCTCTTGGACCCCAGACCGACAGTGGGGAGGCCAGCATGGGACTGATCTGGACCCCCCCAAATGTGAGTGTCAGTGAGAAGGCCTGGGCAACCTATGGGGCCCTGAGCTGTGGATCAGTGTCTATCCCTGGTATACAAACTGTCTTCATGTGACTATAGCACAAAGAGAGATGCTCTCTCAGCCTGCACTCTTAGGGGAGTGCCTTGACCCTACCAAGAGTAAAATGACAGACTCTAGATATCCCCTATGTGGAAGGATTTGGCAATAGGGTGGGAGGGAGGGGGGGAGGGGAGTGCGGGAGGAGGGGAGGGAGAGGGAACTGGGATTGACATGTAAAACAAGCTATTTAAAATTAAAATAAAAAATGATTAAAAAAAACTTAGTCAGTAAAGATGACATAAAAATGTCTGATATTTGCAATGAACCTAACTTCCAGCTCAGATGAATACACACACACACACACACACACACACACACACACACACACACACACACCTTATTTCTCTGCAGAGTTGACAGTAGATCTAATTAAACCAAGACTCTAAGAGTGGCAGCCTGCAAGGCCCACACTGCCTTGGAAAAAGAAAATTGGTCATCACATAGCAGTCAGCTCCATCTCTCCCCTGGCTACACACATAATTTGCATGAGTAGGCGGCCTCAGCCCCTTAATCTACATGACTCATTTCCTCCCCAACATATGAATCAAAAAAGAATAGCACATGACTACATCTCCAGGTCTTAGTTGGCTGATGCTAGTCTCCAGGAAACACATAGCAAGCATTCAACCACATTTCAGAGAAGGAATTCTCTTTGATGGGAACACTCTGCCTCTCTTTTGAAAACTGATACAAATCAAATAATGGCCAAAATTCTGAAGATATTTGTTTTCTCAAAAATTGTTTTAATAAATTTGTTCCAAGCTGACAAATTTCCTTCACATGGTTAAAATTAAACATTTTAATGGAGAGAAACATTAGGAATTTATACTTTTGTAAATAACATATAATTTTTAAAATGTACAATATACTTGTCCACAAAGCTCTGTGGTCATGGTCACTCTCTACTGCCCTCTTACACCCTCCTGCTGATGCCTTCTCTTTTCCCCATAATCACTCTCCATCCCCCCATGTCCCTCTTTTCCTTACATCCTTTCTGTTTTATTACTATTTTAGGATCCATTAATAAAGCATAAAATGGGAAGAATAAAATGTGGCCTAAAGGTTCCTTTCCTGACCCGTGGTCCACTCTCTCAACAGTTTCTTTTCCTACCTCTTTTGTGACTGGGTGTGATTTCTGTCTTTGCAAGCAAGCTGGAAATATCCTCTGCAGTGCGTGTGCTTGTGGGGGTGGAGAGTAATAGGAGTGATGTGGAACAGAGAGCAATGGAGGCAGATGGGAGCAGATCCCACCCACAATTCCCTGGGTTTTCAAGGTTGTGCCAGGCACACTAGGTATTGTGCTGACCATTTTTGGTTTACCACATTCTGGTTATCACCCTGTGACACACTAGCAGAATCTCCACCCATCTCTGAGGGCAAGTAGGAGACTGTTTTTGGCCCAAATCACACAGACACAGTGACTGCAGAGAAGGACAATACCTACTGTAAGTTCTCATCTTTGCTGGTCTTCAGAACAGCTCTTGATACGGCAACAGATTGTTCACACAGGAAGAAGACACACCATCAAGAAAACACTTGGGATGCAAAGAAAGGTCTCTACCGCTGTCAATGAAGTGTCTCCGTCTCTCCGTCCCTTCTCTTCTTCTCTCTTTTCCTTTTTCTTATTTATTTTCCCTCCCATCTCCCTGTTTAGTTTTACTCTTTCTTTCCTTCCTCCTTTGTGGTGATTATCTTTCTCGCAAAAATAAAGTCTGGGGGGGGGGTCAGAGAATGGACCTTGCAACTAGCAAACCATAGAGGTCAGGAGGACTGTACAGATAGACAGGAAGTGACATAGCTTGGCAGAAACAGGATATAAGCAGGGAGAAACAAGATATAAGCAGGGAGAAGCAGGAAAACATTCTCTACTCTGCTGAGACCCTTAGGAGGTAAGGTTTGCTGTGGCTTGTTCCTTTTTTCTGATCTCTCAGCATTTCCCTCTATATCTGACTCTGACTTCTTATTATCTAAACCAATTAAGAACTCCTTTCACATTTCTTCTTCCTCCCCTTCCTCTCTCTTTTCCTATTCTTTCCCTCTTCTCCATTCCCCCATCTCTTTCTCCCTACTTCACTATGAGTGCTATGAGAAAGGCACTTTCCAACCTTCTCAGGATCTTTTCTTCCTTAATTTTAAACTTTAATTATTCTAGAACTTACTGTTAGCCATAAAACAATATTTTGAAAGGTGATTTTCATCCCAAGGCATTCAACCTAAGTGATTGTGACTTGGGGATTCAGTGGGTACCTAGACAGCAAGAGTTCACCCCAGGACGTAAGGAGAGATGACCAGGATGATAATGTTACAACCACCACTGATATTTGCTGTTTTAGAATTAAATTCCACTCAAAATACTCAATTTTATGGGGGTGGAAAATGGATTGGGCAGCCAAGGGGATTGAGTGACTCAGACACAGCAGCCAACTGTGAGGGATGGTTACCAAGCAACTGTCTCAAAGGCTTCCTGGCAGCTCCCTGGAGGATCCTGCCCCCTTTCCAGTGAGCCCTCCTTTGCTCTGGCTGTGGTTTCTACTGCAGTGTGTTTCTCATTTTGTTTTCTCAACTTGTGTTCACTGTCCATGATTCTTCAGGAGTCCCTTGACCTTCTACACTCTGCATAGGATGACCCTAGCTTCCTTTGAGTTCCAAAGTTTCACTCACACAGTTTCATCATAAAACTCACCCAACCTGTGTTAAAATTAAATTGATCTTTCTAGAATCTAGGCTGGATCATTAGGATATGTATTTCCTTCGTCACTTACTATAACATTAAGAATTTGTGGCTCATGGTGGAACATTGAACTTGAATTACCTTATGTAGGCTTTGTCGTATTATTTTAGATGTGGCTATATTTTGTTGAAACAAAGGAACCTCAATAGAAAAGTCTTGCACTCCACCACCTGTTCTACCCAACCACCATTAAACCATTTCTCAAAGTAGGATTGGTATTTCGTGTCTCTTTAGTTTAGATGCTTAGGAAGCTGAGATAGGAAGATCACTTGAGGCCTGAAATTTTGAGACCATCCTGAATGACATAGAAACACCCTGACCTCAAAAAAACAAAAACAAAAAAATGAGCAAAAAACCAAACAAATGAAAAACTTTAGCATTTCTTATCAGGTCTTCTTTATAATCTATTATTCCTTTAAGCAAGACAAAACAGAAAATAAAAATAAACTTCAGCTATTTTTCAAATCACAAATTGGACATCATACCACTAAATAGTGAATTAACTATGATTGTTTTTTTTTCAAAAGTGCCTCAATAATAGAAAATCTATAGGTATGTTTGTAGATTAAAGCTGATGAAGGTCATTTTTGGAGACGTAGAAGCACTCCAATCAGTCTTTACCATGAGTTATAATTGTGTTTGTGCATCTATCATTTCCCCACTCAGCAGGTACCAAGATAATGGTACCAATATGGAATAAAGTACCAGCACATGGGGGAGGAGTTGCAGTTATACCAGGAGGATACTAGCTAGCAGAAATGTTGTATAATGTCTCTACTCATAACAGTTCTTTTTCTGTGGTGAGGAAGCACTGCAAATGGGTCTCTTGTAGCTACGGCTGGCTTCAAACTCCTTATGTAAGTGAGGATGACTTTGAACTTCTCATCTCTCTGCCCAAACTCCCAAATGCTAAGATCACAGCAGTATGCCACTCTAGTGGCTCTTCTGATGGTGTATCTTCAGGGACAAGCCGCTTGATGACCCATTTATAAAAAAATCTCTAAGTCAAGGAATCTTATGAAGAAATACCTCAAAAATATATAAAAAGCAAATTAATGAATGAAATTAATGGAAATTTAGAGTACATATTATTCCTTCTAATGAGATATATTCTACTTGAGTTTCCCTTTTCATCTTTGCTAAGAGTTTCCAACATAGTTAGCTCTTTTTAGTGAGCATAGAATAAGTTCTAGAACCCAAGGCATGTGTTTGCTGCCCATTTCTACTGCTGTTCACATACAGTTCCTGGACAATCATGTGATTATTTTGAACTCCTTGATTTGTGGAATGCCATAGAAATCATTAAACATTGTAATACACTCTGCATCACGGTGTCTTAGGTATGCATTCTTATTAATATTCATCAGTATATGAGGTCAGTCCAAGCCTACAGAGAGGAAAGATGATGCTTACAATGATGATGGCAACAATGATGATGATGACCATGACAGCACTTTTTCCTGTATCTATTGAAGGATTCTTCACAGTTGAGACAAATGATACTATTTTCCTTTAGCAGATCAGGTGGATGAGGAGTTAGGAAGTCAGTAGTCTGTCTTGTTTCAAACAGCTCAGAAAATACAAAATTAGATTCTGACTCCAACATATTCTGCCAAAGTCTAAGCTCTTAACCAGAGTGCACTGCTGTCCTAAAAGTACCCATTGCGGTACTTTGCCATATCTGTTGGTCAGAACAGAACTGTGAACATGAAATTATTTGGAAGCTGAGTGTTGATATTTATATGTTAGGTCTAATGCCTGCTTCTCCTTGAAGACATTGCTCATTCCAAGTACCAGCAAAACATTGTCAAACCCTGCAATTCAGTTTGGTAGAGAAAGCTGGCAGAATAGATACAGCCACAGCCATTTGTTTATGTGTTATCTTGGCTGAGTTAGGACTAATGTAGAAGAATTGAACAGCTGCAATAGAGAATCACATAATTTTTAAAACCTGAGAAACTCATTACCTGGCCTTTTATAGGAAAAATTCACAATTGTTGCATTATTAATAACTAATATGCAGACTTGCAATTGCTGTCTCAAAACAAAATTCTTTCAGTAACTGCCAGTGAATTGAAATGCAACCAATAAACAAATCTGTGGAGTATTCTTGAGATTGAAAAGTGCTAGTTGCCATTATTGATGAATTAGACACAGAAACTGAAGCATTGATAAGTCAGTGGTCACAGAGCTGACAGGAATACCAAGCAACATCGAGGAACAGATTTCCCATGGCCTATGTGTCTTCCTCAGATATGGGGTGAAAGCTCTTTTATTTGGCAATGGAAATCACTCAGAATGTGATTTTTCCTAGGGACCCAACTATGCATCCTTGCAGACCTCACAGAACACTACAAATCACAAGGAACCTAAATGGACCAAGTCTAATGATCTATCTACCCCTATATAGGAGGAGAATGCAGTTGGAAGAAAGATAAATATAAACTCTAAGAAACGCTATACAGAGAATGAAAGATGGAGGTGGGTGTTCTTAATTCTGGTACATTCAGAAATATTTTATTCTTAAATAAAGTTTAAATCTCATGATCTTGTTCTTAAACACCAAGCATAAAATGGCCATAGCACTGTGTTCTTAACCTTGAGAGAGACATTGATTTCAAGTGTCTGACGTTGGCTTTGCAGTGTAGCATGTAGAGAACAATGCCCAGTCGATTATCTGGGATGAACACTATGCTCACAGATTTCCAAGACACCCACACCCCAGAGATAATGCCAGAGAGCTAATCAAATGCTTCTCTGCCTGCACAACTGTGATACCCAAAGCTGCTAGGAGCATCATTTTTAGACATCCGTGGGAGGGATTCTTTTTGTAATTCCACATTTCTTCCACTCCCACCGCATGTCTAGGCTTTGCCTTCCAGAGGCACTGCTATCCTTTCAGAGATTTTCCTTTCCTGCCCCCTCCTTCCCTGCATTCCCTCCCCCTCACCTCTCTGCTGTGGACTGGGAAGCCCTCTGGGATAAGTGGCCCTCTAGTGTTGTACTTGATGCTGAAAGAGCCAACAGAACTCCACCAGAAGGGTGTAAACCCACCCAAATTGGGCTCCTAAAATGAAGCTCAGCATTCCCCTCTCCCCAAAACTTGCTGTGCTGCTTTAACTCCAAGTATCATGAAGCATCCAAACTAAAGCAAAAGACATTCAGCTCTGAAATCTTTGGACAAACTTGGAATAGATAGTGGACAAAGAGGGCTTCCCATGATTAAAAGAATATTAGGTTCTATAGCTTGATGGGTAAACAAGATATGAAGAATGGAGTCAGCACTGTGGTAAAGCAAATGCATCTCATGTCTGCAGGGCCCAAGCAAGAAAAGTGGCCAAAAAATTTATTTAATTTGTGGTATAAAAACCATAAATGAAATTTAGCCAAAAACAGGTTAGAAGAAAACCATTTATGTCATAGAAGCCTGAGTGAGACCCAGAATGACTAGAGATCTTTTCATAAATGCAGGAACTCAGGTAGGATTTGTTATGAGCTTAGTGGTAAGAAAGATCTGAACCTGAATCTCAACTCTGAAGCACTATATATAACCTTTCTGTGGCTCAGTTTTATTGTTTGTAAAACGGTGATAACAGTACATCTTAGAGTTTATTATAATAAGAATTAAACAGATATAATTCAAGAGCAGCATTCTGACACTTTACTACCTTACTATCTTATAATGCACTCTATTATTTGTTTATTAGAATATTTTCATGATCAAATCTCAACTTATTTTTAAGTCTCCATTAGAAAATCAGGATTAATTATATATCTTAACACCACTTATCTGTAAATACTAAATAAAAGAGTGCCTAGATCCTTGTAAATAACAATGATCACATAACTATATTAGGGACATTTGAAACTGAGAAACCTCTTGGCAGAGTTAATATTAATAAAAAACAAGAAAAATTTTCTTACATAAAAGAGCTCTGAAGTTAAGAACTCACTAGTAGTGTTGGTTTAAAAGACTGATATGACTGCTATTTTGACTTTTTTTCCCTGCCATAGAACACAGGGCTTTGCATGTGCTAGGGCAGTACTATACAACTGAGCTATCTCCTCAGTCCTCTGTACTTTTTATTATCTCTCAAAATTTTGTTTTACGTATTGCTTTGGTGTTTGGTGTTTGGTCCTTATTTGAGACTCACATTCAAGGTAAGAAATATCAGGAAGTAGTGGTACTGGACAGATGTGTCCTCTTCAGGAGAAAAGTTAACAACTTTCCTGGAAAATTCCAGGACACTGCTACTTGCAACAAATTGACCAGAACTGCCTCATGTGATAACACCCAGTTTAAGAGAGTCTTGTATAGGTTCATTGTCTCTTTCTCCAGGTAGTTTTATCAGTAAATGAGGATGTGAGGTTTAATGAAATAACTGGTTTAGCCACTTTGGAAATCAGTATGGAGATTCCTCAGAAAAATGGGAATAAACCCACCACAAGACCCAGCAACTCCACTCTTAGGCATATATCCAAAAGATGTCAATTCATACAAAAAAGAAGTCTGTTCCACTATGTTCATAGCAGCATTATTTGTAATAGCCAGAACTTGGAAGCAACCTAGATGTCCCTCAACCGATGAGTGGATAGAGAAAATGTGATACATTTACACAATGGAGTACTATTCAGCAGAAAAAAAAAAACAATGGAATCCTGAGATTCGCAGGCAAATGGATGACACTAGAAGAAACCATCCTGAGTGAGGTAACCCAGTCACAAAAAGAGAAACATGGCATGTACTCTCTTATATATGGATTTTAGACATAGATCTGGGGAGTGCCAGCCTACAATCCCATGGCCAGAGAGTTTGGGAAACAGAAACTTCATTTAGTGGCTGGTCGAAGAAGAGGCAGACTCCCTCGGTTAAGTACTGAGCTGAACTCAAGAAAGCCAGTAACAGAGAGGGAGGACTGATGACCAAAGGGATTAAGACTGGGCTGGTTTAACCCCCAGAAACAGTTGACCTGACAAAGGTTAACTCTTGAATCCCAGGCATCAGCCTGGGAATCCAGCATGGGACTGATCAAGATGCCCTGAATGTGAGTGTCAGTGAGGAGGCCTAGGTAATCTACTGAGCCTTGGGCAGCAGATCAGTACCCATCCCGAGTATACACACGGACTTTGGACTCCCATCCAACAATGTGAGATGCACTCTCACCCTGAACTCTTGGGGAAGGGTCTAGGCCCTGCCCTATATGAAATGACAGACTATGGACACCCCCATGGAGGGCCTCACCCTCCCTGGGGAAATGAGGGGATAATGGGGGTGGTTGGGGGGAGGGAATGGGAGGAGGGGAGGGAAAGGGAGAAGGACCTGGAACTGACTTGTGAAGCAACCTTGTTTCTTATCTAAATTTAAACTGAAAAATAAATAAAAAATGTTTAAAAAAAGAAAAAAATAAACTGCCATGTTAAAAAAAAGAAATAGCATTTATTGTTAGTAACTGTTGCTTTTTAATCAATTAAGAGATAAAAACAATAATATGTAATTCAGAAAACATTGCTCAGACCTTTAGAATGACAGTGACCTCAAAGCCACCTAGCTTGCTTGCTGGATACTTTTCTTCCACAATGTTTCTGGAACGGATGTTCTTTACTATGAGTGTTTATAGTGGTAGACTTTGTTGTTCTTGTTGTGACAGTTTGCTTTGTGTTTTAGCTTTTGTTAGATACTTAAGTGTTGCCACATTGCCTAGCTGGTCAAACTTAAGAGTTTCAATTCTCTTTGAACTCAGGTCATCTTCTTGCTCTGGCCTCTTGAGTAGCTTGGATCATTCACATGCAGCCTGTACCTGTCTATGGAAGAATGTAATTTAATACCATATACTTTACCCTTCCCCTGACCTCCAACTCCATACATGTGGCATTTAACTTTTTGCAGGCACCTGTGCTTCATACTGCAGCTATATTATGCAATCCCCCTGCTACTCTCCCACTACTGTCACTCTCAACTGTATTTCCTGAGCACATGATCCTGTATTAAGCTTCTTTAAATTTCTCCATCAGAAAGACAATGCTTCTGATAAAATAAAAGAAATAGAGCTGGTTTAAGTCCAAATGGCTTTGGGTTCTGCTTTTCTAGGTATTGGACTTGTTCTTCAACTGCCTCTGGATTTTGATTTTTCTAAGAGAAGGAACTCTGGTCTGGACATTCACAGTTGGAAACAACTTTACAAATACCTTCTTTTCTTAGCTAAAATCTTTAGCTCCTCCCTTTGCTATTTTCCTTGGACTCCTCTCCTTGTTGATTTGAAAGTACAGAATCAGAAAAAATTATATAAATCTATTATTAATTAGGGACAAAATAATAGGAAAATATGGCATTATATCTTGGCTAAAAATTCATGAGATTGGTAATATGTGAGTTCATTAACATCAGTACTTAGAGATCTATCATTATACCATAAATATGTACCTAGACCTTTTGAAATCTCGGGGGAAAGTCTCCTTCAGAGACAAACAATAAAGACAGATGACATCTTCATGCTTCCATTAGATATGAAAATGAATAGCTGGGTGAAGTCAATGACAGAATCCGTGATATTTATTTGTTTAAATTTATCTTAATTTCTGCAGAAATCCACAAGAATTGCCTTTTTGCAATTGGTACCTTTGTCTTCAAGACCACTAGTCCAGAAAATTCACTTAGTAACAATGCTCTGGGCAAAATTCTTTCTAGAACTGTAGTTGACAACCCACTCTGAGAATTCTCAGGGCAGAGAATGGCCAAGGAATACAGAAAACCCACCCACTGAGCACTGTGGTTAAATCCCTGAGAACTGGGCACATTAGTATGAATCTAATTCTATGCATTAGTTTTGAAGATTAGGGGTGGTTACATATCTCTTCAGCCTCTCTTTTTTTCCATTTGAAAATCAAAAATGGTAACACTAATATCTGATAGGATAGATTCTACCACAGGTCATGCCTGGTATGTGGGACTTCAAAAAACAGTTGTCATTTACAAGAGATAAACAGGCAAGAGCATGGAAGGACAGGTCCAGAATGAAAATAGACCCAGGAGCTAGTGGGCCCAACGCTAGTCTCTGATGAAGATGATTTTCTCCATAATGGGGTGGATCCTTAGTTCTCATCCCACTCCTGCCCAATCAGAGTTGCTGCTCTAAACTATGTAAGTGTTGGCTCCCTTCTAGCTGTCCACAGTCAGATGCATGTGGGGATTAACTCATGACAACTTCAATTGACAAGATATTGAAATGTCAATAGCTCTGCTCTTGGGGTCTTGGTACTATTTGGGAGACTGTGCCATGGGACAAAGCAGGAATCTCTTTACTGTGAGCTACCAAGTGTATAACATTCCCTGAGATGTTTAAAGGAATGAAACTCTTCCAGGTTTTCTTTCAGAAATCAGAGCTTTTTCTACCATCACCACCAGCTCCTTCATGAATAACCTTACCTGCTAAGCACATGGGCTGAATGGATCACCTAAAATCATAGGACCGTAGTCTCATGCA